AAATTAAACAACCAATTGCAAAACAGAATTGCTTTCAATCCAGACTTTTCCATATCATATCACATATTTAACTGCCTGCCATAGTTCTCAAAAGCACTTCATGTACAACATGTCCAAAATTAAATCATTTCTACCCACCCCAAACTGGTCCTCTCCTAAACTTCCCTATCTCACTGAATACGTGATGATTTTTCTTGTGGTGCACAAGTCAGAAATGTTTAGCAACTTCTCCACTCTGCCTCCCCCATTCAGAACATACGCCATGTCTTCAATATTCTCTATCCCTCAATTATTGCCCTTTCCAACTTTTCACCCTTCACAACTCTACCTCTCTTAATGATTATTTTTCTTGTGGTGCATAAGTCAGAAATGTTTAGCAACTTCTCCACTCTGCCTCCCCCATTTAGAACATACGCCATGTCTTCAATATTCTCTTTTTCTCAATTATTGCCCTATCCAACTTTTCATCCTTCACAACTCTACCTCTCTGATCCAGATCATTATCATTTCTTCCTGGGATTGGAATAAAAACTTTGAACTGGCCAGGCACCTGTAGCTCAAGCGGCTAGGGTGCCAGCTACGTACACCGGAGCTGGAAGGTTCAAATCCAGCACGGGCCACCAAACAACAATGATGGCAGCCAAAAAATACAATCAAAAAATAGCCAGGCGTTGTAGCAGGTGCCTGTAGTTCCAGCTATTTGGGAAGCTGAGGCAAGAGAATCGCTTGAGCCCAAGAGTTGGAGGTTGCTGTGGGCTGTGACACCAGAGCACTCTACCCAGGGCGATAGCTTGAGATTCTGTCTCAAAAAAAAAAAAAAAAAAAAAAAAAGCTTTGAACTGATTTCCCTAACCACTCTTGCCCCTGTAATCCATCTTTCACCCAAGAGACAAGAGCCAAGTTATCCCCCTCAGTGCAAACCTGAAAATCCCCACACTAAATCCCTGCAGTGGCTTGAGAAGCTGTTAGGCCAATGAAGTGTAAAATCACGAACTAGACCTTGCCTATCCTTCTAACCTCATTTGTTGCCACACTCCCCTGCCTGCACTATGCTCTAAACATACTGGTCGTCTTCCATTTTCTCCATTTGCACAGTGATCTGTTCCATCATCTGCTATTCTTACTGCCTGCAAGATTATCCTCAACCTTCCACTGTCTCCTTTCACCACTGAAAGCCCACTAGCCCTTCAAATAACACCCTAAGCATCATTTTCCTAAGAAGGCTTTCTCTGAAACTACACATCCAATCAGGATACCCACTTTATTAAGCTTTCAAAGCACCCTGTGCTCTTCCTTCAGAGCTATTATGTGTGTAGTTTATATATACCCACACCACACACCCCATACACACATACCAGACTGCAACCATATCCATCTTATTCATCACTGTGCCCCTAACAACTAGCATGTAATAAATATTTGTTGAATAAATACACAGTTCAGAATTTAAAAGAATTAGTAGTCACCTGAAAGTTTTTCTTGTTTTTGTTTTTGAGACAGATTCTCACTCTAGTTGCTCCAGGCTAGAGGGCCATGATGTCAGCCCAGCTCACAGCAACCTCAAACTCCTGCACTTAAGTGCTCCTCCTCTCTCAGCCTCCAGAATAGCTGGGACTACAAATACTTGTCACAATGCCTGGCTAATTTTTCCTTTTTTTTTTTTGAGACAGAGCCTCAAGCTGTCCCCCTGGGTAGAGTGCCGTGGCACAGCTCACAGCAACCTCCAACTCCTGGGCTCAAGCGAGTCTCCTGCCTCCACCTCCCAAGTAGCTGGGACCACAGGCACCCGCCACAACACTTGGCTATTTTTTTTTTTTTCTGGTTGCAGCCATCATTGTTGGTTGGTGGGCCCAGGCTGGATTTGAACCCTCCACCTTAGGTGTATGTGGCTGGCGCCTTAGCCACTTGAGCCACAGGCACCGAGCCACTAATTTTTCTATTTTTAGTATAGATTGGTGTCTTGCTCTTGCTCACGCTGGTCTCAGTAACTCCTGAGCTCCAACCATCTTCCTGCCTCAGGCTCCCAGAGTGCCAAGATTACAGCCTTAAGTCACCAAGCCCTGTTCACCTGAAAGTTTTTCGGCACACTAGGTTACAATCTTTTGCCTCTCCCACTATCACTAAAATTCAGTATATACAAGTTTTCTTTTCTTTTCTTTTTTTTTTTGAGACAGAGCCTCAAGCTGTCCCCCTGGGTAGAGTGCCCTGGCATCACAGTTCACAGCAACCTCCAACTCCTGGGCTCAAGTGAGTCTCCTGCCTCAGCCTTCCAAGTAGCTGGGACCACAGGCGCCCACCACAACCCCTGGCTATTTTTTGGTTGCAGCCAGGGCGGGCTAGATTCGAACCCGCCACCTTAGGTGTATGTGGCTGGCGCCTTAGCCACTGGAGCCATAGGCGCCAAGCCTACAAGTTTTATTTTCTTACAGACTATCAGGAAAGAAGGAAACATAAAACTAGGGTGAGCCCCAGTCCAAAAAAAAAAAAAAAAAATTGGAAAGGAAAATGCTTTTCCTTTTTTTTTTGAGACAGAGTCTCCCCATGTTGCCCTAGGTAGAGTGTTATGGAGTCACAGCTCACAGCATCCTCAAACTCTTGGGCTTAAGCGATTCCCTTGCCTCAGTCTCCCATGTAGCTGGGACTATAGGCATCCACCACAACTCCGGCTATTTTTTGTTGCAGTTGTCATTGTTGTTTAGCTGGCCCAGGCCAGGCTCTGAACCCGCCAGCCTTGGTGTACGTGGCTGGCCGTAACCATTGAACTACGAGCGTGGAGCCACTTTCCTTTCTTGTGATTCTGGCAAGCAGCAAAAAAGAAAGGTGACCACACACAATGGCTCATGCCTGTAATCCTAGAACTCTGGGAGGCCGAGGCTGGAGGGTCACTTGAGGTCAAGAGTTCAAGACCTGCCTGATCAAAAGCAAGCTGTGTCTCTACTAAAAAGAGAAAAAAATTGCCAGGTGTGGTGGTGAATGCCTATAGTCCCAGCACCTCAAGAGGCTAAGTCAGGAAGATTGCTTGACTGCCAGAGTTTGAGGTTGCAGTGAGCTATGATGATGCCACTGTCCTCTAGCCTAGGGGACAAAGTGAAGACTATCTCAAAGAAAAAAAAGAAAGAGAGAAAGGTACTCTTAACAGTAATTTCAAGAGATACTAGTGTGTTAGGGCTCTGCAACACATCAAGGAAGATTCTAAATATTACATAGCTGACATTGGTGTACATGTAACATGACACTCAGAGCATATGTGAACCAAAACAAATTACAGATATGGTAAATTCAGTTCCTTTACTTCATTACTCAATCTTTTTATTTTTTATTTATTTATTTTTTAGAGACAGAGTCTCACTTTGTCACTCTTGGTAGAATGCTGTGAGGTCACAGCTCACAGCAACCTCCAGCTCTTGGGCTTAGGCAATTCTCTTGCCTCAGCCTCCTGAGTAGCTGGTACTACAGGTGCCTGCCACAACACCTGGCTATTTTTTGTTGCAGTTTGGTGGGGGCTGGGTTTGAACCCGCCACCCTCGGTATATGGGGCCTGCGCCCTACTCGCTAAGCCACAGGTACTGCCCCATTACCCAATCTTGGTCAGAACAGATGCAGAATTAGACAATAAAACCATTTCTTTCCTAAAATCCTCCCAATACAGGCAATGGGTTCTTAGCTAAGTAGTACATTCCTTGGGTGTCAATTATTATCTGGCATTAGCACTGTTGCATAGTACTCTGTATTTTCCTCTAACCTAGTATCCATAGTTAGTGTCTCATTCTGTTCTAGCCACAATTATTATCCTTCCTGTTTTCTATCAAGCCAGAACACCTGTGCCTCAGGGTTTTTGCAGTTTTGGTTCAGTTTGCATGGACTCTCTCCCAGAAACATATACATAAAGGTATGCTCACCTTGTTCATGTCTTTACCAAAAAAAGCACCCCATTTAAATGTGCAGTGAATGAACAGACTCCTTGTCTTCCCCTCCTAGCTTCAGATTTCTACAAAATATTTAACCAACCGACATTCCATATGTTTTGCTTATTTTTTAAAATCTGCCCTGACAGAGAAAAATATTTTGTCTGTCTTGTTCACTGCCACATCCCAACACGCAAAATAGTGCCTGGGAGAGGAAAAATTCAAATATTTAACTGAAAGCACAACGGAACTCTTTTAACTATCCGAAAGAGCAGGCTCTCAAATATTTGTTGACTGAAAACATGATGGAACTCTTGACTATTCAGGCCGCTGAAATACATAGCACCCTCATTCTCAGTAGGTAGTCCCCATCTTGAGCCTCAAAAAAAGCTCAGCCCAAGAGCGGGAACTTTTTCTTCCGGATTATCTGAGTTAGTCCAGAAAGCTAGAGTAGTTAATTCTTGAGTCTGACATTTCCAATTCTCGGAGATTTTTCTCATCTTCATGCTTCCATTTCCTTGGTTTCTCCTGACCATTAACCCTGTTCAACTGCCATTTAACGCCTAAACCTAGAAAATAGTCTAAATTCCGATTTCATAACTTCGAATTCCTTCTGCACAGATCCCTCCCAACTCAATCCCAAACTACATTTTCTCCCTTTGAGTTCTTCCACTAACTCACCCACTGCCACCTACTCAGCCACTCCACCTACTCCACTCCACCTACTTCCACTCCACCTACTTCCACTAACTCAGCCACTTCCACTACTCAGCCACTCCACCTACTCCACTCTTTCCACGCCCCGTAACATCTCCCTAAACCCCAGGGGTCTTCCCGCCTGTTTAAGATCTCTCTAAAACCCTCGGGGTCTTTCCTACTGGAATCCTCGTCTCTATTCTATTCGCCAACTCCTCCCACTCGCCCACCCACCCCCAACACCGCTCCGCACGCACGCACACCCCCATCAAATCTCTCTCCCTAGACCTCGAAATGAGCAGCAACACACGAGCCCCAAACCCAAGAATGAGGAACCTGGATGAGCCATTGATTAACCCATGACGGTACCCACAAGACAGCTGTTAAGACCCACCTCTGAGGCCGACGTCCTTAGCAGACGTCGTGTTTTGGAGTGGGCCTGTGCGACCCCAGAATCTCAAGCCACCCACAGCAGGAAGGTCCTAGAAACGCAGGTGTTACGCTTCCAGCGCGCCGCCATCTTGTGAAGCCATCTGGCCTCGTGATTGGACAAGTAACTATCGCGGGGTTTGTAGAAAAGCCTGAAGGGAGAAGAAACTGTCGCGATACTTGGGATTTGTAACTCCCTGCAGAAAGTAGGAGACCGTTGCAGTGTAGCAAGACGGGACTTGTGCTTGAATTCGCTAAGGACCTTGTTAGAAAAAAAAGAAAAAAGAGTTAACTCTCTGGGCTCCTCCCTCTCCATACTTATTAAATCACACTCTCTGAGGTTGGGCGGGTAATATGAAGATGAAGGAGGGAGACTTTGAGGTTTGGAGGCGTGCAACTGAGGCTTATTTTGCAACAAGTCTGGGAAGAGAGGGCTCATTTGCAGAGGAGAGTCTCACTATGTCGCCCTCAGTAGAGTGCCTTAACATCACACCTCACAGGAACCTCAGACTCCTGGGCTTAAGTGATTCTCTTGCCTCAGCCTCCCAAGTAGCTGGGACTAGAGGCGCCCGCCGGAACGCCTGGCTATTTTTTTGTTGTAGTTGTCATTGTAGCAGGGCTGGGCCGGTTTCTTTTCTCTCTCTCTCTCTCTCTTTTTTTTTTAAATTAAATCATAGCTGTGTACATTAATACTGTCATGGGGTACAGCGTGCTGTTTTTATATACAGTTTGAAATATTTTCATCAAACTGGTTAACATAGACTTCGTGTCATTTTCTTAGTTATTGTGTTAAGACATTTATATTCGCCAGCCCTGGTATATGTGGCCAGCACCCTAACCTTTGAGCTACGGGCACCAAGTGAGGAAGGGTTTTCATTACCTACGGTTTAACCAACCACCTAAAAATGGTATAGCTTAAAACAACAACCCGGGCAGCGTCTGTGGCTCAGTGAGTAAGGTGCCGGCCCCGTATACTGAGGGTGGTGGGTTCAAACCCGGCCCCAGCCAAACTGGAACAAACTGGGCATTGTAGCAGGTGCCTGTAGTCTCAGCTACTCGGGAGGATCACCTAAGCCCAGGAGTTGGAGGTTGTTGTGAACTGTGATGTCATAGCACTCTACCGAGGGTGATAAAGTAAGACTGTGTCTCTTTAAATTAAAAAAAAAAAAAAAAAGCAGCCCTTTTATTTCTAACAGTTCTTCAGTCTGGGCTGTGATTAGGCCCAGCTGTTCTGCTGGACTTACCAGTGATCATAGCATCAACTGGGGCTTGGTTCAGCTGAAATAGCTGGGTCTCTCTCCTAATTCAAGTTCTCTCCTCCATGTGGCCCTTCGGGTAATTTGTCCAACAGAGTAGACAGATTTCTTTCACATTTTCTTAGGGTTCCCAAAACGGCAAAAGTGGAAACTGCTAGATCTTTTTTTTTTTTTATTGAGACAAGAGTCTCACTTTGGTACCCTCAGTAGAGTGCTGTAGCATCATAGCTTACAGCAACCTCCAATTCTTGAGCTTAAGCAATTCTCTTGGCTCAGTCTCCCTAGTAGCTGGGTCTACAGGCATCTGCTACAACACCCAGCTATTTTTATTGTTGTTATTTAGCAGGTCTGGGCCAGGTTGGAACCCACCAGCTCTGGAGCATGTGACTGGCTCCCTAACCACTGAGCTACAGGCACCCTTCTGCTAGATCTTCTTCAGACTTAGCTCCAGGGGCAGCACTGTGGCTCAAAGGAGTAAGGCACCGGCCCCATATGCCTGAGGTGGTGGGTTCAAACCCTGCCCCAGCCAAAAACTACAAAAAAGGCTCGGCGCCTGTGGCGCAAGTGGCTAAGGCACCAGCCATGTACACCCAAGGTGGCGGGTTCCGATCCAGCCTGGGTCTGCCAGACAGCGATGACAGCTGCAACCAAAAAATAGCGGGGCATTGTGGTGGGTGCCTGTGGTCCCAGCTCCTTGGGAGGCTGAGGCAGGAGACTCGCTTGAGCCCAGGAGTTGGAGGTTGCTGTGAGCTGAAATGGCATGGCACTCTACCCAGGAGTACAGCTTGAGGCTCCTGTCTCAAAAAAAAAAGTATTTATGGGGGGCAGTGCCTGTGGCTCAAAGGAGTAGGGCACTGACCCCATATGCTGGAGGTGGCGGGTTCAAACCCAGCCCCGGCCAAAAAAGAAAAAAAAAAAGGCTTAGGTCCAGAACTGGCAGTTTCATCATACTCTTCGTTAAAGCAAGTCAAAGGGCTATCTCAGATTCAAGGGGAAAGAACTATGCTAGGGTACCTTCCAATTATGGAAGGCATGGCTCATTGGGTTATACCAGTGTAGCATGATACCAAAGGAAGTTTTCTGTCTTTAGTTGTGGCTTTTATCTTAGGCATTTTTACACTTTTTTTTTTTTTTAAAGAGACAGTCTCACTTTATTGCCCTTGGTAGAGTGCTGTGGCATCACAGCTCACAGCAACCTCCAACTCCTGGGCTCAGGTGATTCTCTTGCCTCAGCCTCCCAAGTAGCTGGGACTACAGGCACCCACCACAGCACCTAGCTATTTTTTTGTTGCAGTTCAGCTGGGGCCGGGTTTGAACCCGCCACCCTCGGTAATGGGGCAGGGGCCCTACTCACTGACCCACAGGCGCCGCCCCACAATTTTTTTTTTTTTACAGGGTTTTACTTTGCTGCCTAGGCTAGAGTGCAGTGGCATCATCATAGCTCACTGCAACCTCAAGCTCCTGAGCTTAAGTGATCCTCCTGCCTCAGCGTTCTGAGTATTTGGGACCAGATGCAAGGGTACTCTACCCAGGGCGACATAGTGAGACTCTGTCTCAAAAAAATAAAATAAAATAAAAATAAAAAACAGCTGGGTGTTGTGGCAGGCACCTGTAGTCCCAGCTACTTAGGAGGCTGAGGCAAGAGAATCACTTAAGTCCAAGAGAGTTTGAGGTTGCTGTGAGCTGTGACACCATGGCACTCTACCCAAGGCAACAGCTTGAGACTCTGTCTCAAAAAAAAAATAATAATAGATTGCCTCAGATATTGACTCTAGCATCAAATTCACAAGAAAAAAATTAACAACCTAAAAAAATGAATCATCTAGGCAAGTACAGGCCTTTGAAGTAAATATTAATTACTATATTGACAGAGGACGTTGCATTCATAAAACAAGAAGAGGCTGATGTGAAAAAGAATGTATTAGAGATATTGGAAATTAAAAACAGGACACCTAAAAGTGAAACTCAACAAATGGGCTAGAAAGTAGGATTGGACACAGTGAAGATCAAATCAGTGTGGAAAAGGCCAGGTGCAGTGGCTCACACCTGTAATCCTACCACTCCGGGAGGCCAAGGTGAGAGGATCACTTGAGGTCAGGCTGAGGAAGAGCAAGACCTCGTCTCTACTAAAAATAGAAAAATTAGCCAGGTACTGTGATAAGCATCTATAATCCCAGCTACTTGGGAGACTGAGGCAGGAAGATTCCTTGAGCTCAGGAGTTTGAAGTTGCTGTGAGCTATGATGATGCCACGGCCCTCTATCCAGGGTAGAAAAAAAACAAAAAAGAGTGCAAAAAAACACAGAAGTAAAATTATCTCTATTCATAGATGACATGATCTTATATGTAGAAACCCTATTCCAGCAAAATAACTCTTAGAAATAAACAAATTCAGCAAAGTTCCATACAAAAATCAATTGTATTTCTACATGAAATGAACAATCCATAAAGGAAATAAAGAAAATAATTCTATTTATAATGTATAATACCATCAAAAAGAATAAATCTATATGGATAAACTTAACCAAGGAGGCTATATTGGTTTGCTAGGCCGCAGAGTACTAGGTGAGTTAAACAACAACATAAATTTATTTCTCACAATTCTGGAGGCTGAAAGTCTAAGATCAAATCTCAGAAGGTTTTGTTTCTTTTTCTCTCTCTCTTTTTTTTTTAAAAGACAGAGTTTTACTTTATTGTCCTCAGTAGAGTGCTATAGCACAGCAACCTCCAACTCCTGGGTTTAGGCAATTCTCTTGCCTCAGCCTCCTGAGTAGCTGGGACTACATGCGCCTACAACAACATCTGGCTATTTTTTTGTTGCACTTCGGCTGGGCCTGGGGCCGGGGCCTGGCTGGGTTTGAACCCTTCACCTCGGCGTATGGGGCCTGCACCCAACCCACTGAGCCACAAGCACCGCCCAGAGGTTTTGTTTCTTATGGGACCTCTCTTCTAGCCTTGCAGGTGGTCTTGGCTTGTTTTGTTGGTGTTGTGTTCTAATCTCTCCTTATAAGGGTACCAGTCATATTCTATTAGGGCCCACCCTAAGGGTCCCACTTTAATTTGATTACCTCCCCCTCCAAATCTCATGTTGAAATTTGATCCCCAATGCTGGAGGTGGAGCCGTCAGGGGCGGTGTTTGGGTCACGGGGGCAGATGCTTCGTGAATGGTTTGCTGCTCTCCTGGTGGTAATAAGTTCTGGTTCTATTAGTTCCCAGGAGAACTGATCATTAAAATGAGCCTAGCACCTCCCTTCATCCCTCTCTTGCTCATTCTTTTGCCAAGTGACACCCCAGTTCTCCTTCACTCATGGTGGAAGAAACCTGAGGCCCTGACGCCATGCTTTTCCTATAGCCTGTAGAATTCTGAGCCTCAGGGTCCTCACCTATAAAATGGGAATAACCAGTATTAGGCACATCAACTCCCCAGGGATTGTGTGAGGCTCAGAAGAGAAAAGAGCAATGAGTGAGCATCGACTTTGTCTGCTAGTATGCACAGAAACGGGTTTTTTTTTTTTTTTTTTTTTTTT